CCATGGCAGGGGTGGCACTGGGTGGGATTTGAGGTCCCTTCCAGTCCAGGCCATTCCATTCCATGGTTCTGCCTCCCTGCACATTCAGAAACTCTCAGTTAGATATGAGGGTTTTTATTTTTTATTCTGAGTTTTTCCAGCACTCCTCAGTTTCTGGCTTAGCAGGTGAAGCAAGCTCAGTTTGGCTGAGCTGTACTTGTGAGAAGGGAGTTTGTTAGGTTAGGATCCTTTAATTCTGTAAAAAGGTCAGATCATCATCCCAGAACCCCAGAGTGGTTTGGGCTGGGAGGGACCTGCAAGCCCATCCATCCTGCCAGGGCAGGGACACCTTCCCCTGCCCCAGGCTGCTCCCAGCCCCTGTCCAGCCTGATCTGGGACACTGCCAGGGGCAGTAGAAGCTCAAATTGGCCAAGATGCTGAAGAAGATTCCCCATGCAGTTCCCAGACCATGTGTATTTCCCCAGGCTGAATCTTCCCAGTTACTTGTTCTCAGATATTTGTCTTGGCTGTGTCTCCTTTGTAAGAGTGTAACACAAACAGTTTTGCAACTGTTCAACTTCCTTTGCTAAATTTGTTTGTTGAAACAAAGTTCAGAGGCAGTTTGAGCTGTGAACGGAAAGGAATTTGGTTTGGGTAGAGAGGAGGCATTGAAAAATCAAATAATGCTAACTGGAATACAGCAGCAATTCAGCAGACACAATTTATTACAAATCTGAGCTTGTGTTCAGATAATAATAATAGGAGTTAAAATATTGCTTTATTTATCCCCACTGGATGTTTTTTTTCAAATGGGTGATCTCCTACCTCATTAGAAATCCATTGTTCTGCATTTAGCTGCAGTTAAACCCATTATTTGTGGATTTCCATAAAGATTGTTTAAATTTTCTAGTTCAAGGCCCAGATTTCTCTTCTCTTTTCAGTCATGCTGACTGTGGCACATCTTTTTAACACAACAGGTCAAGACAAAAGAGAGTTTTAGGGAAGACAAGGAAGGAACTCCCCAGATTTTCCCATGGAATTCATGTCAAACAGAGAAGACATGTTTGGAATTAAAGTAGTGACTGCTTTGGCCAACTGAGTGTGGGAGTCAGCATCTCCTGAGTCAGAGGCATGACCACAAAGTGCCTTAAAACAAGAACAGGAAGTTTCTCCTTGTTGCCCTCAAAGCAGAAGGGAGGCTGAAGGTTCTTGAGAAAAAAAAGAGTCAGAACAAAAACTTCAAGTGTTTTGAAGCACTGTGTTGAAAAGATGGGAGCAATGAGAAGCTGGGTCGGTCAAGGAAAAGAATCCTGGGTGCAGTGAGAGCCAGGGTGGATCACAGCCTCCTGGGGAGGTTTTACAGGAAGATGTAGGAACCTCTGGAATGGCAGGATTGCCAGGGAAGCTGTGGCTATCCCTGGCAGAGCCCAAAGCCAGCTTGGAGCAGCCTGGGACAGTGGAAGGTGTCCCTGCCATGGCAGGGGTGGCACTGGGTGGGCTTTAAGGTCCCTTCCAACACAAACCATTCTGGGATCCATGAGGGTGAGTCAAGCAATAATGGAATATTTTCCCAGATCAGTTCTAAAATTCTTGGGATGGCTTGAAAAGGTGTTTGAAATACAGTCAGAGTCCTCTGAGACATCATTTGATGAGAACATCTTGGGTGCTTTTGCTGACACTGAGTCTTGAACATCACATGGAGGGAGCAGCATAGGGATCCAGGACCCAGCTCCTCCTCAGAGCCCCAGGTTCATGGACACTTCTCCCAGGCTCTGGAAAGAGGGAAGTGTAGGAAAGTCTAGGAAGGTGTGAAAGAAAGTAACAGTTCCACCAGGGAGTACTGGGGTGAACCCAATTGTTGCAAATGAATACTTGCAATACAAGTCAGGTCCTGTGGCTGCACCAATGCATTAACACAGAGTTTCACTTTCCAGTGTGCCTCACCTTTCTGTCTACAGCTGTTTGCAGCCAGCCTGGTAAGAGTGTTACCATCTTTAAAATGCTTTTCCTAACACATTTCATAGCTTGCACATCCTCACCAATCATCATTTTGGAACTTCATGCTTTTTGGAGAAAGAATTGAGAGAAATGTAATCCATGTGCACAGTGCTTTGCATTGCTGTGTCTGTTGTGCTGAGCTCTCCCCTGTGGCTGCTTTTTGGGGCAAATCCTGAGCTGCTCTAAATGGGTTTATTTATTAGAATGGTTGCAAAACTCAGAGTTGTTTGTTGGGGGCTGGGATTTTGTTATTTTTTCCTTTCTAGAAAGAACTTTGGAGGGGCTTCCTTACAACCTCCAGATGGACTCCCACAATTTCCAGCACATTTTGTCCTGGCAGGCAGACCATGACCCAGCTGTGCCAGCATCCTACAACGTTCTCTACAGAGACCGCAGGCAAGTCACACAAAATAAGGCACAAATTCTGCTTTTACTGTCTATTGACCCAAAGAGGAGGGAGCTTTGCAGTGCCCATCCCTCCCCTGGAGGTGGCACTGAGTGCTCTGGGCTGGGGACAAGGTGGCCATGGGGCACAGCTGGCACTGCCTGGGCTGGGAGGGCTGTGCCAGAATCCTCACTGATTTGGGGATTCTGTGAAAATAGTAAGGCTGAGATTTTTCTCTGTTTTCTTGGGGTTTTTTTCTTAGGTTTTTTTTTGTTTGTTTTCTGGGTTTTTTGGGGTGTTTGTGGTTTTTTTTTTTTTTTTGGGGGGGGGTATTTTTTTTGGGGGGGTATTTTTGTTTGTTTGTTTTTTGTTTGTTTGTTTTTGTTGTTTTTTTTTTTTTTTCCTGAGAAATGGTGTCCTCACACTCCCATGCCTTCTGACATCAGAGAATTGAGACTGTTTTGCTCTTCTCTGCAGAAGCCAGAGCTGGATGAGTGCTCAGCAGTGCTCAGGCATTGCCCAGCTCTCCTGTGAGCTGACAGAGGAGTTCAAGGACACATCCACTGAGTATTCTGCACTTGTTCAGAGCATTGGAGGAGCTCAGGTGCTCAATTCTTCTGTGCTGCGTTTTGTGCCACTCACTGACAGTAAGTTCTCTCTCTGCATCTCTTCTTTTTGTAGTTTTCATTAGCAGCTGATGCCTGAATGATGTTCTGCTGCCTTTGCTGTAAGACTCCACAGTGACTGTGTTGGTGGCTATTTGTATGTGGTATTTCATATATCTGTTACAAAGCCTTAAGTACATGCATAAGTTTCTAAAATGAGTAGTCCTGATTAGTAGCTCTGATAAAGGAATGAGGCTCTGGTTTTGAAATAAATACATTATAATTATAAAGGAAATACAGCTGTGCATTGACAAACACCAAGTAAAAATCTCTTGACTGTATAAGGTACATAACTTAAAGAACAACATTTGTATTGTTCAAATAGTGTGTTCAAATGGTGAATGTTGAGTTAAAAAGTGCCAGGTCTGCACCAGGTGTAGGGAAGAGACTGATGGACAAACAATCAATCTGCCCTTTTCCCTGCTGAAGATATTTGTCTTTATTGCCAGAGGTGGCTTCACCCTTGGCTCTGCTTAAAATAGAGTTTGGAGCTAACAGATGTTGAGGAACAGCTGGAGAGCTGTGGAGGATGAACTGCTGATGTTTCCTCTGAGCTCAGCAGAGGCAGCTGCTGTGTCCCCTTCCAGAGTCAGAAGTGAGGGAACACTGTAGGGAATGAGGAGAGTGGGACAAGGAAAACTGAAGGAGAGCATCCTGAGGAGGAGCCCTGCAGTCCCTCAGCAGCTGGTTTAATAAAGAGGACAGGAAAAGGGGGAAGGCTTTCAGCTGAAGGAGGGCAGGGTTAAATGCATATTGGCAATGAGGAATTGTTCCCTGGCAGGGTGGGCAGGCCCTGGCACAGGGTGCCCAGAGCAGCTGTGGCTGCCCCTGGATCCCTGGCAGTGCCCAAGGCCAGGCTGGACACTGGGGCTGGAGCAGCCTGGCACAGGGGAAGGTGTCCCTGCCATGGCAGGGTGGCACTGTGAGGGGCTCTGAGGTCCTTTCCAACCCAACCCATTCCAGGATTGTATTCTGTACTTTAACCTCAGCTTTAATCTCGTGTAGATACAAAGATCACATCTCTGAAGCTGGAGCAAAACCTCTATTCCCTTTCTGTTTCTTCCTTCCACTCCTTTTCCTTTAAAGTCTGGCCATGTGGGAAATGATGGTCTGGCTGTGGAAGTTAAATGTTGCACGGCCTTGTGGATTTACAGCAGTGACCTCTCTGGAGTGTGCTGAGCCAGCTCTGTGTGCATCACAGAAATGGAATTGGTGCTGGATAAAATGTGGTTTTTTTCTATCATTTTTTCCTCTTTCTTGTTTTCCAACAGCAATTCTGGGACCACCAGAAGTGACTATCACTTCCTGTCCAAATTGCCTCAATGTCACCATAAAGCTGCCATCCTCTCACTTCAGAAACAAGGGGAAGCTGCTGTCTTTAATTGATATCTATGAAGAGATGGATTTTGATATCACCCTGAAATCACAGGATGGAGAGCACAAGGTCAGGAAATTTGGGAATAGTTGTGCTTTAGGGGAGGAACACAGAGGGCATGAAATGGCTCTGATGGTTAACAGGTTCCCAAAAACAAATATGTGGATAGAAGCAAAAGAAAAGATAGAAATAGATTTCTTAGAAGAAAAGAGAGACCATGGCCAGCAGAATCTGAGCTTGCTTTCACTGCAGGGTGCAGGTCTGCAGGGGTGAGCAGGGGCTCTTTTCAGCCAGTCACTGACTTCAAACCATTGCTTTTCATGGCAGAGGCCACGGCAGAGAACCACTGCAGAGGTGTTTAGTATTGTCATTGAGGAGTTGTATCCCAGCAGGAATTACTGTGTGTCTGTGGGGGTCACTGCATCCCTGAACAAGAATTCTGTCCCCTCCCCCTGGAAATGTGTCACTACAGACTCGGAGGCTCAGCAAGGTAATGGAGCTGTGGGGCAGGGGGGCTGGGCTGGGTGTGCAAAGTGTTCTTTTGGTGCAGGGACATTTACAGTTCAGTCCTAAAAAACAAGTGATCACAGAGTCATGGAATGTCCTCAGCTGAAGGGACCCCCAGGGACCCCCCAGTGCCACCCCTGCCCTGCCCAGAGCCCCCCAAGCCCAGCCTGGGCATCCCTGGCAGCGCTGGCCAAAGGCTCCTGGAGCTCTGGCAGCCTCGGGGCCGTGCCCATTCCCTGGGCAGCCTGGGCAGTGCCAGCAGCCTCTGGGGAAGAGCCTTTCCCTAAAATCCACCCTAAATCCCTCCTGGCCCAGCCCCAGCCGCTCCCTGCAGAGAGAAACATTCCAAGAGAGAACCATTGTGGGTATTTAGGAGTGAAATATAAAACCCCAGCACTTTGGGGCAACAAATCTCTTGGCAATCCTCTGAGCCATACAGATCTCCACTAGGTCTGCAGAAAGATGGAGTCACTTCTTTTGTAATTCCTGGAGCTGATTTGGGATTTGGTTTTGTTTTGAAATTGACTTTCACAGGTCCCTTCTAACCATAATTATTGGTGATTCCTAATCGCCGTTGTGGCTGTGACATCTGAAATGTGGTGGGACACTTCCTCCATGTGTGTTTATTTGATTTTTTTTCTCTGCAGGGTATCACGAAGCTGCAGTGGCAGGTGCTGTCTGTGTTTCACTGATAATTGCTGCAGTCCTGAAGTGTGTGCATACAGCAGGTTTTATCCTCCCGAAGTTTTCCCTTCCTCAGACCTTGGTATGTAACAGCTCTCAGCTCTGCCCTTTCTGGCTGCCAGGGGCAAGTCTAACAGCTGGAACTTCCAATCCTGTGCTTTAGGTACAAGTTCTGTAAGAGCACAGAATGTTTGTATTTGCAGTTTACCTCAGGCAAAGATGCTGCTAAGTTTTGTCTGATCTTCAGAACAAATATTCAAAACTATTTCTTGCTATTTCTGTGACAAGTTACTAATGGAGGGGATCATCCCACCATGCTCAGGGAATATTCCACCCAGTTCTGGTCCCCACAGGGCATGGAAGGTGTGGCCCAGAGCGGGGCCAGGGGATGAGCAGAGGGCTGGAGAAGCTGCCCTGTGAGGAGAGACTGGAGGAGAAGTTGTTCCACTGTTTAATAGTAATAAAATAATCTCTCTTGGACTTTCTCTGTGATCAAGCACAGAGGGAGCCAGCCCGGAGCCAGTTTTTTATTTCCATAGATCGAACTTTAGTGGCACAGTTATTTGTGAATGAAATTCTCTATTTAAATTCAATCACAAATAACAAGATTTCTTGTTTCCATCTTTTATCTTTTCTTGCTTGTTTTATTTTTTACAGTCTCTGACTTCTTTGACATTTAATTCTTTAGGGTTTTTCAGCATAAATATTTTTCATTTTCTACAAACATACCCAGAGCAGATGGGTATCACTTTTTTCGAAGACTTTTTCCTCATGTTCTGTCCTTTGCTGTGTCACTTTCACATCTCAACAATTGCTGAACACATTACTAAGGAGTGTCTAAGGTTTATTTATTTTTTATTGTCAACATAATGAATGCTTCAAATATTGAATAATCCTCTGAAGTGCAGAGGGAAGACAGGGCTTGGGATGTTAAAATGGTGCAAATTGCTTCAAAAGATAATTTCTAAAGGACATTAGAACTGCTCAGCCTTGATAAAAGTGACTGCAAGAGTTGTGAGAGTGACGAGACTCAGCTCACCCTGGCAGGGTGGGCAGGGGCTGGGATGGAATTCCCAGAGCAGCTGGGGCTGCCCCTGGATCCCTGGCAGTGCCCAAGGCCAGGCTGGACACTGGGGCTGGAGCAGCCTGGCACAGGGGAAGGTGTCCCTGCCCTGACAGGGGATTGGAATGTGGATGACTTTTTAAGATCCCTTCCCACTCAAAACCTTTCAGGGGTTCTGTGATGTTCAGGAATGGAAAAGAAGGAATGATCCTAGATACCCTGAACTCTGCTGAAAAAGCCCAAACTGTGGCACAGAAGGAATCATTTGTTTGACGGCCTCGTGGCTGGAGGTTATTTGGGTTTTTTTTCATGGTGTTGTATGCAGATGTGCAAAAGTGGCTGATTGGTTTAATTCCTTTTACTCTTCCAGGCATGCATCAGGAAGTTGGCCTACTCCCCTTGGGTGTCTGAGTCAGAAACAGTGGCCTCTGTGGAGATCATCCCCAGAGAGGTGAAAAGCAAGGCCAGGGGCTGCAGAGGCAGTGCCAGTGATGACACTGACAGTGACAGTGACAGCAGTGCCCTGTATGACCACAACTACACGAGGCGGGGCAGGCTGGGCAGGGGCAGTGTCCCCCAGGGCTGTGACACCCCCAGCAGCCTGGGGCAGTACTCAGTGAGCAGCACCTGTGAGCACAGCAGCAGCCAGGCTGGGGACACGCCAGCTGCTGAGCCACAGGAGCCCCAGGGACACCCTGAAGGGGACAGGGACACGAGGAGCGAGTTCCTGAGCCCTCTGTCTGGGGACAGCTGTGAGCCCCAGGGGGACAATGAGTGCTTCACCATCAGCCTGCACACGGTGCTGCTGGGAACCCTGGAGCAGGACGGGCACAGCCCTGCAGCTGCTCCCCCAGCCCGGGAGGATGCAGGTGACTGGCACTGTGCTCATGCTCTGGAGGAAAAGCTGCTGGAGGACACGGGAAGTGAGCAGGGAGCACCTTGTTCTGACTTCCATGAGTGGCAAAACTCCTCCTGCTGCTCTGAGGAAAGCGACTCTTTGGACTCAGACACAGAGCAAGTAACGGGGTACATGAGGAGATGAAGAAGGGAGAACTGCTTTTACTTTATAACATAGGAATCAGTGTTGTTCAACTCTTATTTCTGGACTGAACACACAGATCTTGTCCTTTCATTAATATCCTGTGAGTGTGGGCTCCTGCCGAAAGAGCTGGGGGTGTTTGTCTGGAGAAGGATCCAGAGAGACCTTGGAGCCCCTTCTGTGCCTAAAGGGCCTCCAAAGGTGGGGCTTTGGACAAGGGATGGAGGGACAGGACAAGAGGGAATGGCTTCAAACTGACAGAGGGCACTTTTGGATTAGAAATTTTTCCCTGTGAGGGTGGGGAGAGACAATTTCCAAGGCCTGCAGGGACAGGAGCCAGGGAATGGCTGCCAGTGCCAGAGGGCAGGGCTGGATGGGATCTGGGCAATGAGGAATTGTTCCCTGGCAGGGTGGGCAGGGGCTGGGATGGAATTCCCAGAGCAGCTGGGGCTGCCCCTGGATCCCTGGCAGTGCCCAAGGCCAGGCTGGACACTGGGGCTGGAGCAGCCTGGCACAGGGGAAGGCTGGTCTCCCATCCAGGCCACTTTTACAGTTTTTTTATTCTTTATCTCTCTTACTGGATTTACAGTGAAACCTGTTCTGCTGGCTGGATGCTGTATTTGTACAGAGAATGCTGATCAAGTGGAATAATGGGGGCACAGATGGGAATACTCAGCTGACAAAAGAGCAGATCGAGGCATTAATACACTTCTTGAATTTATTTTTGTATAATTTTGTACAGTTACTGATTCATATTAAAATTTTATTGTGACATTTAAAATCCCCGCCGTGAGCAGCCGCAGTGTGTGAGGGGGAAAGAGCCGGCGTGTGAGGGAGAACAGAAGGAACAGAACCGGCATGTGAGAGGAAAGAGAGCCGGCGTGTGAGGGGGAACAGAGCCGGCGTGTGAGGGGGAAAGGGAGCCGGCGTGTGAGGGTGGAACAGAACCGGCGTGTGAAGGGGAGCCCTCAGCTCCGGGGCCGCCGCCGTGCCCGCAGCCCGCTCCGCCCTGTGAGGAAGCGGAAGGGTTCGGGGTGCCGGGGCGGCCCCGCTCCCGCTGCCATGGCGCGGCGGCCCCGCCGCGGCTGAGGGAGCCGCCATGGCCGCCGCGCTGCGGGCCGCGCTCTGCAGCGGGCTGCTGCTCCTGGGTGAGTCCACCGCGGAGGGACGGAGGAACGGAGCGAGCTCCTGGTGCCGCCTGGCCGCGGGCACGGCGAGCGGCGGTGCCCTCGGGGGGAGCGGCAGCGAGGGGCGCCTGAGGCGGCGGCGCCACCGCACTGCCCCGAGCCCGGCGCGGCTCCTCGGGGGCCGTGAGGAACCGAGCGGCCCCGGGAGTGCCCTGAAGGGACAGCGGGGCCAGCCCGCCCGGCTCTGTGGGTGTTATTGGCCCAGGGCTCAGTCTGTGCTAGAAAACGGGGCCGGTGCTGCCGGGAGAGGGACACTGCAGGTCCGGGCGAGGAAAGGCGGGCGTGGGGGAGAAACCGCGGCCAGAGAGCCCCGTGCCGCTGTCTGTAGGGGGAACAGCCGGGAAACAGGGACAGGAGCAGAGGGAACGGCCTCAGGCTGGGCCAGGGCAGGCTCAGCTGGGACAGCAGCAGGAATTTGCCCATGGAAAGGGTGCTCAGGCCTTGGCAGGGGCTGCCCAGGGAGCTTTGCAGTGCCCATCCCTGCAGGTGTCCCCTGGGGGTGGCACTGAGTGCTCTGGGCTGGGGACAAGGTGGCCATGGGGCACAGCTGGGGCTCCATGAGCTGGGAGGGCTGTGCACAAAACTGAAACCCCAGAAATATTTCCTCATCTCTTCGGATCCACAGTGCCCAATGAAGCAATTTACCTGGAGGCTCCTCAGGTAGGCAGCACTGTGAGGGAAGGGAGCCTGGCAAGGAAATGTGATTTTTCCTGGGAATTTGCATGTCTGCCTCAGACCTCATCTTCAGAGCAGGGGCAGTGCTCCGAGAGAAATCAGAGGGACTTTGGACAAGGGGTGGAATGCCAGGATCAAGGGGAGTGGCTGCCAGTGCCAGAGGGCAGGGCTGGATGGGATCTGGGCAATGAGGAATTGTTCCCTGGCAGGGTGGGCAGGGGCTGGGATGGAATTCCCAGAGCAGCTGGGGCTGCCCCTGGATCCTGGCAGTGCCCAAGGCCAGGCTGGACACTGGGGCTGGAGCAGCCTGGCACAGGGGAAGGTGTCCCTGCCATGGCAGGGTGGCACTGGCTGGGATTTGAGGGCCCTCCCAGCCCAAACCCACCTGTGATTTGAACTTGTGTATTTGTGATGTGCACTGTGTTTGATTTATTTGTTGGGTGCAAGGGTTACACTCCAGGACCAGTGTCTGAAACCGGTTTTGTTTAAGCCAGGTTCAGATTTTAAACTCTTGCCTGCCAGAGGGGGGTGACTGACACAGGAATTTCATTTGTTTCTGCATCAGCTGGGGACACAGCTCAGGGGTGATATGGGCTGCTGGGGTGACACAGGGTGACCTTTAAGGTCTCTTCCAGCCCTGATGATTCTGTGAACCACAGACATGCAAAATGTGTTATTTATTTTACAGTCTCTCATCGGGTGTGCCTGACATTTAAGCACTGCTCTGCTCTGCTCTGGCAGGGTTTGTTTGCATTGCTCATTGGTGGTGCAGTAATGGGCTGGAATCTTTGCTATTTTGGTCTCAATACCTACAATTATGTAAGAATAATTAAATCATAACAGTAATGGGCTTTTCATTGATGCTTTACACTAGTTTAGGGTTTCTTTTATTCAGTTCCAAGAAAGGAAAACAACTGGAGTTTTGTCACTTGTGAATAATGCTGATTAATGATACTTAATTACATTTAATTATATATAATAACTCTCTTACCTTCAGAGGTGCTGAAGTTTATCAATCCCCACGCCCTTGTTATTCCCACAGTGCTGCTTAGAAAAACTGGGGTTTGACAGTCTGAGGGAGAGTTCATGCCCCGAGTGCTGGGCAGCACCAGCTCAGTCATGCACAAGAATGTCGGTGTCACAAGCACTTACTGGAAGCCACTGGTGCCAGTAATTTGTTTTGTTGCATAAGGAGGCAGGAGAGGCATCAGGATTTAAATTTAATTTAATCGGGCTCTGGTTTTGAATACGCACCAAAGGCAAGGCAGAGGCTGCACTTAAATTTAGGATGAGTGACAAGTGCTGGAGCAAACACTGAGATGTTGGTTCTGATTGCTCCCACAGCTTCTGGAATGGTCCCAGAGCCCCGGAACGTGAGAATTACTTCAGTCAACCTTCACAGCACCTTGCAGTGGGATGCACCAAGGTTCTCCAGAGGGAACCTCACCTACACTGTCCAGTCCAAGAGGTGGGGCTGGGCTGGGCTGGTTTTCATTCACACCCTGCAGCTCTGTGTGCCTGGGACTTGTGTCCTCTGCAGAGCACAGCCTGTCCCTTTATTTCAGGGACTTTGCTGTCCCAGGAGCTGTTCCTTCATTTCAGCTTGTGAGAGGCTTCTCTGCTGAGCTGCTGGACAGGGCAGAGGCATTTCCTGGGCATTCACACCCAAGGCAGCTTTGTCCTGTTTGTTTTGGAACCACAGACACATTCTAACACTGGGAGTTATTGGCTCTGTGTGTGGTTTTTCCCTTCTGTGATTGAAGAGACCTGGTTGTGCTGAGTGTTTGTCCTTCCCTGATCTCTCAGACCCTGCCAGGGAACAATTCCTCATTGCCCAGGTCCCATCCAGCCCTGCCCTCTGGCACTGGCAGCCATTCCCTGGCTCCTGGCACTCTCTGCCCATATAAAAATTCTCTCTCCCTCTTCTTTAGAAGCCCCTCCAGGCACTGGAAGGAGCTCTAAGCCTCGCCCAGAGCCTTCTCTTCATGCTTAGTTGAGAGAAGATTTTTCTGGGTTCTGTAGCCATGGTCCCTTGATCAGTACATTTCTGGGCAGGCTGTTGATGCAGAGCAGAAATAATAAAATATATTAAATATAATCTATTAAATCATGTATTGATCAAGGCCGGGTTGGACACTGGGGCTTGGAGCAGCCTGGGATGGTGGAAGGTGTCCCTGCCATAGCAGGGCTGGCACTGGGTGGGATTTAGGGTCCCTTTATCCCACACCCTCTGTGGTTCTGTTCCATGAGCAGCTCCTGGTCACTTCCCAGCCCTGTTTTCTCTGGCTTTTCCTCTTGTGCAAATCCTGGAGACAGCTCTGAGCAGAGTCCCCCTGGGACAGCAGTGCCCTGCTGTGGCACTGGCTGAGTGTTTGCTGGTTCTCTGAACTCCTGTCTGCTGAGTGCACTCTTGGGACCCTGCCAGGAAATGGGCATTTTTTACAGAGTTGGAATTTTAATTCTTAAGTTCATAATTTAATCCTTATGTTTATCATTAAGTTTATCATGGATTTATAGATGGGTGTAAAATCCCTAGTGTGAGTCTTACACACAGGGGAAACATTTTTACACCCACAAGTGCAAACTGCTTGCATTAACAGCTTTGCTACCTTAAAGCCCTTTAGGCAGTTGGAATTACCATCTGTTTCTGTCCCCTGCAGCATCTACTACCCTGGGGACACCTATGAGACCCTGAGGACAGACCTGAGGCTGCCCCAGTGTGACGTGTCCTCGCTGTCACCCTACGGCAGCTACGTGCTGCGCCTGCGGGCCGAGGCGGGCCAGCTGCACTCCCCCTGGGTCACCCTCACCTTCAAGCCCATGGATGACAGTGAGCCTTTCCCTGTTCTTCCCAAAGTACTGCCTGCTCTGGGAGAGAAGCTAGAGGATAAAGAGTATTTTGTCATTTAATTACGCTGTGCTGGTTCTTGGCTTCTTTTTTCTACCTCTGTCGAGGTCAGGATTGAAGGCACTCGAGATGCGATTTCAGGCTTAGATGTTTATGTTTTCTTATCTGTGTTACAGCCTCACAGCAGTGAGTTCTGCAGTATTTCACTAACAAGGTACAAAATGGCTCACTGTCTTTCTCTACAAGGTCTTTTAAGGCTAAACTACCCAATTAAGAAGTGATACCTAAATTATTTCCACTTTTAACCCAATAACCAACCACCGTGCCCACAATGTGGGCTTTATCCAATGACACAAAACCACCCAAACCCGTGGAGAAGAAGGTAAAGAAGGAGCAGCCTCCACCCTAAACCCTCCATCTTGCTTTATATCTGTTACTGCATTCTAAACCCTTAAACTCTGAGTTTTCCACCCTGTGATATCACACACTTCTATCCAAACTGCACAGCCACAATCCCAGTTCTGTCATTCCATTCTGGAAGCTTCTCCAGGCCCGCAGGTCAGTCCAGTGTTCTCCTGGGGGTCAGTGCCTGGCAGCACAGAGTCTGGAATTCTCAGCAGCCAGG